CTCCCCTCCCTCTCTAGTATACACTGTATGTAGTTAAATATATTTTGTATTATAATTGAAATACATCATTATTTGATCTAATTCACTTGTGAATTTTATAAGGAGGTTTGAATTTCTGACTTCAATAAATACAGCTCAAGTCACCTGACCTCTAGCTCAGTTCTGATCAGTGCTAATCAGTCTTGCTCAGCACTGATCAGCTCTGATCAGAGCATCTGGGGGAGGGTAAAGTACTGAAGACCTATTCAGAGTCCAGCAGAATCCACTGGAATTCCATTCAGATTCCGGCGGAATCCATTGGAATTCCATTCAGAATCTGGCAGAATCCATTGGAATTCCATTCAGAATCTGGCAGAATCCATTGGAATTCCATTCAGAATCCGGCAGAATCCACTGGAATTTGAGATTCCTACCATTCCGGCGGACTCCAGATGGAATTCTGACATTCTATGGGAGTCCGCTGGAGTCCGCCGGAACTCATGGGGGAGGGTAAAGTACTGGGTCTAAGTTACACAAAGTGGTTAGGTAATGGGTGGAGGAGTGATAAACATTGGTTATTCAGGGATTGAAGTTGGAATGTGTTGGAATGAAGTTGGAATGAAGTTGGAATGTGTTGGAATGAAGTTGGAATGTGTTGGAATTCCACTTGGAATCTGACTTGGAATTCCACTTGGAATCTGTTGGAATTCCACTTGGAATCCGGTGGAATCTGAGATTCCTACAATTCCAGCAGATTCCGAGATTCCTGTGGATTCCGGTGGATTCCAAATGGAATTCCAACACTCCACCGGAATCCGCCAGAACTCATGTGGGAGGGTAAAGTACAGCATGCTCTCTCTGTGGCGGGTATGTTTTCTATCAGTTTTTATGCAAGGGGACATCACTAACGCCTGCATGGCAGCGCTGGGTACCCATAGCGATCGCTGCGGGCATGATCCCTGACCACATCGTCAATGCCAACCACACCATGGAATACCTCAAGTATGCTGCAACAAGGAGCCTCCTTACAACCCAAGGTCACCCAAAGGAGGGCCTGGCACGCTTATCATCGGTCGGTGACCCCTGTCTTTGTTTGAGCCTCATTAACTGACATATTCATGCCATAGTCATCATTGAAAAAGAATATGACCATGCTCGGCCGCGTTCGGCAGCAACAGTGCAATGACGACCCTACCCTGCAAGCACGTCGGCCCACATCTACATCGAGGAGCCAGGATTTTTACAAGGCTCTTATGGTAGAATCCCAACGCTTGCGCCTTGAGTAAGTCAGTTTTCCCCACCTACATCTTCCATTTCTCATAACTATACTTTCCAGAGACGAGTTTTTCGACATCAGCGAAAACACGATACTGGACTCACAGCTGCACGCCGTGCACTTCGAGGAGATCACATCCGCTATCTTCATGAAGCTCGATCAATGTGAGTTCCATTACATGTCTTCTCTACCATTGCTAACAACATTATCTCACTAGTCCCATCAGTCATCAAAGCACATTTTAGCTGGACTTGGCAGTGCACCACTCTCAACCGTGGCGATGAGCTCATCAATCTGCTGCTCAGCTGCCTTCAACCCCACTCCCTGCTTGTTCCTAACTATACAACACCTGACGGGCAACACTGCGGTGTTGGTAAATATTATTTTGGTGTACTTTCCCTTTATCATGAGACAAAGGTCTCGAAGCCAGGAGTCTGTAGTTTACTTGTATTGTTGGTTTTATATCTTACTGAGATGAGGATAAGAGAAGAAGGAACCGGACTACAACTTCGTGCTGCCACGATGCAATCCGCTTCGTTGCTCTGTTGGAGCTCTTGCTATCCTTTTGCATTACATATTTGACCAGGAGAATGTGTGCGAGAAGATTGAGGGTTGGGACTGGTCTTACCCATTGACCTGGTGCAAGGCAAGTCTGCCCTCATCTGAAATCAATGTTGTTCCTTACCAAACCAAACTATCAGGTAAAGCTTATGTTTGGAAAAACAGTGGGGAAGGCCTGTGGTGATGATACCCTCCGAAAAATGGACACAAAATTCCTCGAATCGACATCCATCAAATCAAAAAAGAAGCTCCACCTCGCCTGCAAGACTATCCCTACCCACCTTGAAGAGATGGGGTACGTCATGACTTATTTGTGTGCCAGCTGCTGCTCATCATTTTTAGTGTTACAATGGATGAAATTGGTGCCATCGGACACTGGGCAAGTACCGTTCAACGTGAGGTTTATTCCACCAAGATTCCGAAGTCTGTAAGTTTTCTTTAGGCCAATTGTTCCTTCAGGGAAACTCATTTAGTCATTAGGCGGTTACGGCGTTGGCAGGTTTCTATGTTGGGGAGGCTTATCATGTTCCCTGGGCCACTGTTGCTGTTCCCGATGAGCTCCAAACCCAATTGTTCCCTTTTGCGGAGAGGGTACTTGTTGAGCTCAAAGGGAAGGCACACGTCAACCAGGGCTTGGTCAATTTTGTTGAGCTGTTGCAACAACTTCGCCCTTTCTTCTGGCAGGTGCGTCTACATCTCATTGCTCTGTTTAGTTTTTACTGATTCTCACTGTCTCAATCTTTGCTAGGCTACTGCTGCCATCCACAAAAAGTTTCCTGACTCACCGCTATTTAGCCGCATGCCAATTTTTAAGTCGTCCCTGGCTTCCAAGTTCATTTCACGATGGCCTCATGCTCAGAAAGAAGTTGAGGCCCACTTCCAAGTAGATACCGAGATTGCAGCGAACTTTAAGGAGGTCGCAACACAGAGCACCTTCCTCTCCCTTTCAACGTCACAAAGAGAGCTGTCGGAAGCTGTCAAGTCATCCCACTCATTGCTTGAAGTTCTTGCACGTCGAACTGAGCCACTCTCTCCATCACATAGTGTAAAAACTCATGTGGCCATTGTTGGCTCTCGTTCAGCTACCCCCAGCCCAACAGGGCCACATTCCAACTTTTTGTCACCGCAGCCTCCCTTGATAGAGACTATGGTGGCAAGTGCGGGTACCCCCATCACATAGTGTAAAAACTCATGTGGCCGTTGTTGGCTCTCGTTCAGCTACCCCCAGCCCAACAGGGCCACATTCCAACTTTTTGTCACCGCAGCCTCCCTTGATTGAGACTATGGTGGCAAGTGCGGGTACCCCACTCCATGCTGCCACTGCAGCCAGTCAAATCTCTAAAATATCACTCAAATGTGTAGACTTTCAAGGATAATTGCATAGATATGTCAATTCTTCACCGATTTTAGCGTTCTTGGGCTCGTTTTAAAGCTAGAATATGCAGAAATAATACGTATCAAGATACATATGAGCATATTTGCCTTGTTACAACCGATTCTTTATTTTTCGGTCCTAACCGGTTAGTAACTGCAAATAACCGACTGTAACCAGTTAGTTGTGGTCCAGTTAGGTTATTTTAGGTTTCGGGACAAAGGCTAACTGGTCTCGGTCTCGGTTAGAGCCCCTGGGCACCCAATAACTGGACCTAACCGGACTTTCGAACACTATATTCTACCACCTCCTGTAGTCGATCCAGAGCTGCTTTCTGTTCACTCCCAGGGAGCTGCGTCACGATATGTGGTGTCTGTGAACCATAAAGGCAGTAAGTATCATGTGCTACGGCTCTCACCTGGTCCCTTGGCGCTGCCCACCCCCTTTGACATCATTCTTCCCCCAGCAGCAGCATTTGTGTCTGACCAGACTACAATGACTGCTTACCCCGACTTTTCTGTGTCATCATGTGGATGGCAGGCTCTGTTCAGTCTGGTTGTCCATCTTGATTTTCTTTGGGATTGTTGGGGCCCAGGCAATTTGGGTGAATTTTCTGATGTCAGCTCTCTCTGGAAGTGCTGGGATGAGGGTACAGCTATTGAGGGAGTTGGTCGCAAGCCTCCATTGCAGATGGTGGAGACTGAATGGGGTTCTCACAAGGACAAGCGGTCAAACAAGGGACACCATGTTGCATGGCGTCCTCGCCAAAACACCACTGTATGTCTTTTTTCACATTGTTCACCTCTCAACACAACATTAATCTGCCTCTTCAGGCCTGTCAAAAATGGTCTCAATTTCAGTTTTTCATCAGTCGAATAGAGACCTCCATTAGCACTGGGCTTACGGCCTCGCAAGCTGTCCAAGTTCTTGAAGATACACGTCTTGCATTCTCAATGCCGCAGCTTCATCACAAACTCCAAACAAAGCGGCAGAAGAAGGGCAAGGTAGGTGGCCCTTGCCCTGAGTCTAGTGCTCCCTCCTCTGGGGATGTCATTATGGCCACTTAAAAATTAATCATGCTTTCATTGTATCATTAACTTTTTTTCTTTGTCTTTTCTTTTTATTTCTTCATTTTTTTTGTCGAGCCTCTCATCCACTGTAGCATACAAATATCTTCAAGAATAATCTCTATTGCGTTGTCTTATAATCGTTCCCAGTTACTTGGTCATACACACATACTGTACTCAGCCACATTAGTAATATGTACCATACTTCTCCACAAAACCGAATGCTAAAGTTGAACAAGGGTGTGCCAAATTTCATTAATTTGGCAGATCACTCCTGAAGCAATTCCTGTTAAATTGAGCCCAAAAACATAGAATACAAGTAAGAACTTCCATGTGAGCCGCAATTTCCAGCAAGAGACCTTATTTCCCCACAGAACCAAACACTGAACTTGAACGGTTCGGCGCCATATTTCACAAACTCAGGAGGTTGTTCCTGTAGCAATTTCGGTCAAGTAGAGCCCAACAACGTAAAAATCGAGCAAGAACTTACCTGTAAGCCTCAATTTAGGATAAGAGACCTTATTGCTCTGCAAAACCAAACATCGACTTTGAACGGTGAGGCGATATGTTTCGCAAACTCGGGAGGTTGTTCCTGATGCAATTTCGGTCAAGTAGAGCCCAACAACGTAAAAATCGAGCAAGAACTTACCTGTAAGCCTCAATTTAGGACAAGAGACCTCATTGCTCTGCAGAACCGAACACTGACTTTGAACGGTGAGGTGATATGTTTCGAAAACTCGGGAGGTTGTTCCTGATGCAATTTAGGTCAAGTAGAGCCCAAGAACGTAAAAATCGAGCAAGAACTTACCTCTCCGCTGTTTTCCTCGTTCAACCTGGCTCGATAGCACACTGCTGGAGGGTGTCGGAAGGTTATGCGCTCATTCAACAGAAGCTTGAGTATATCAATCAAAAGGGACAAAAAGAAACATGGAGAAGAACCTCAGAAAAGGGAATGATGACGGGATGGATGCACGATGACCGCACCACTCTTTTAACAGAAGGAAGCAAAGCGGGAGGACCACACCAACGGCACCTGGGTGAGGGAGGAACCAGACGTTTTCGAAACAGGAGGGTAATTAAACCCAGGCACTGTCACTGTGTTGGGGGCACGTAGGAACAGCGTTAATTAGGAAGAGGAAAGTGTTATGAAGGGAAGGGAAGAAAGAAAGAAAGAAAAGCAAAGGATAATGCACTGTGGAGTCAGTCGGAGCAAAACAAATGGAAACCCATTGGGAGACAAGTCGGCTCTGAATGAAAGGTGTAAAAAAAGAATGGAATAAATGGCGGGAGGGGTAGAATGCGAGGGAGGTAGACAATTAAGTGGCGATACGAGAAATGGACTCCGTCAACGCAGGGCAAAAAGAAGGAAGGAAGGAACACCCTTCAAAGGAACTTATGGGCTTAAAGGGAGATGAACTGAGTCACGGTATTTCCCTCTGTAATCTCCTCTGTTTAGTGGAGAATGTCCGGGTGGTTAACTTTGCTTGCGTTCAGTCAAAGGGCAGGAATGGGAAGCGGGCTGTAAGTTATGGTCAGGAAGAGGCAATGAAGAAGGTGGAACGAAGGATTAGAAAGGTGTGAATCTCAGTGGGGAAAACATGCATGAATATCCGGGGAGGAATAGGAAGCTGAGCTTCCCTGCCTAAAACCACGTTCACTTCTTCTCCGTTCTCTTCACTAATTTGTTCATTTTGTACTCTATTCCCTGAGTCCATAAGCTAGTCCTGATCCATTCAAATTTCTCCAGCTCTCATTCGCAGTTCTGTTGAAGGGTTGCCATGCTCCAAGATCCCTTCGTTCCCTCCACCCTTGTCCCGTAGTTGCCTGAATTATGTTCGGTATGGTGGGTGACTGTATTTTTCGGTTTTTTTTCCCCATGGTTTATAAGCAATTGGATTCGATTCTTCCGTCTATAGGGACTATTATGCTTGTCAAAAGAAGGAAAACTATACAGGGGCCGTCCCACCAATCCTACTCGGATTCCTCGCGAGCGTCTGGCCAACTCTCTGGGCTTGAATAGAGCTGAATCGGTGCAGCTCCTCAGGCTTTGCCGAGATCTTTCCGCCAAAGCCCACTTTACATGCCGCACGCTTGATGAATGACACACAATTCGAGTAGAGCGATTCGTGGATGGACGCAGCATGCGATTGGGTGCGGGTGAGTGGGACGCCGGTGGCAGCCACTTCTTGGGCAATGTGCTCACGACACTTGCAGATAGCCTTGATAACGGTGGCTTTCATTCCAAATTTAACCCAGTCAGAGGGATGAACCAGATGATGTTCTATATATACGATATGTCAGGATAAGGTTAACATGTGACTGGAGAAAAGATACCCACCCAGATCCAAACAATGCCGATCCAACCACCAGAGATAGCCTTGATCTTAGTGAAGCCCATGTCACCGTACGCAGCAATGATGGATGAGATGAATTGGGCAAAGCAGAACGCACCCTTGAGTGCTGTAGAGGGCCGCTCCATGAAGAAGAAACCATGCGAACGGGTGACGAAGATGAGGGCTTGTGAGATGATAGCAACTTGAAGGTAGACAATCATGTGCAGCTTGGGGTTGTTGTGCGAGATAGGAGGTGCGGTGTCGAGGGAGACACCAAACTTGTCTTGGAAGAAGTTGGTCTCGATGATGATGCAGACGAGGGCAATGCTAGTGTTCGAAAATGTCAGCCATGAAATTGATAAGTTGGGTATGATGAACTTACGTGGACGCAGTGAGGTAAATACCATAAGCAAAAGCGTACGAGAAAATCTCAACCAAATCCCAACTATCCGGCATCAGAGAAGGAAGCACACGATCAACCGAAAGTGTCATGATAGTCCCATCATTGAGGAGTGCAATGATCAGAATCATAAACGGCGGGAAGTTGAACTTGTATACAAATGACAGGATGGCGAAACACACAACAATACGGATGGTGATGGCGCATGCGTAGATCGAGTAGTTCCTCATACATTGGAAGATAATATGGGATTGGCGGATGGCGTGGACGATGGTGGAAAGACCCGGTTCAGTGAGCACGATATCAGCAGCACCACGAGCAGCATCCGTTGCACCTTCCACAGCGATACCGACATTGGCACGAGACAGAGCAGGGGCGTCGTTGGCACCATCACCCGTCATCGCACACAAATGCCCAAGCCCTTGTAACCGCTTGACAATTTCGTACTTGTGCTCAGGGAACACCCCAGCGAACCCATCAGCATCCACAATCATCTCATCAAGGTTGCTGAACTTGCTTCCGGGGGCTGGGCCGTCCTTCAACACCTTCGCAGGGTACATGTGGTCTCCCAACCCAAGACGGCGGCCGGTTTCTTTGGCGATAGCAAGTTGATCACCAGTGACCATTTTGATGCGAACACCAAGAGCCAGTGCATCATCAATGGTTTGCTTAGTATCACCATGGGGAGGATCAAAGATAGCCAGGAGACCAATCAGCTCAAACCTGTTACCCTCAGCCTCATGATCATCACCGTCCAATTCCTTGTAAGCGAGGGCCAGGGCACGGAGACCATGGATAGCAAAGTCTTCTACGTCCTTCTCCAACCTCTCCTCCAGCTCCTTGGTCTTGTTGTGCATGCAAAGTTCGATGATGATGGCTGTCATACCCTTGGTGACACACTTAAGTTTGCCTGTCGACTCTTCACGGTATGTGATCTCGGTACACTTGTCAATGGGGTTGAACAGCTTGAAGTCAAGCAGTTTGATTCCGGCACAAGCACGGGCTGTATCTCTGAGCGCTTGAACAACGGATGTGTCAATGGCGTCCTGATTCTCCACACGTGAGGCGTAAGCGGAAATGAGTATAACATCCTCCGCAGAGAAGGGGCCGTATGTCTGTATAGTGTTGCGGTCGATGGTGAGCTTGTTGGTGGTCAAAGTTCTGGTCTTATCAGAGCACAGGATAGTAACACCGGCCAACTCTTCAAGCGGAAAGGAGTATAACATCCTCCACAGAGAAGGGGCTGTATGTCTGTATAGTGTTGCGGTCAATGGTGAGCTTGTTGGTGGTCAAAGTTCCGGTCTTATCAGAGCACAGGATAGTAACACCGGCCAACTCTTCAATGGTGGTGATGCATGTAACAATGGCCTTGTACTTGGCTAATTGCTGAGCACTGACGGCGAGGGTGACTGAGAGGACGGTGGGCATGGCAATGGGGATACCACTGATGAGAAGAACAAGGATGTTGTCAAGACCATCACGGTACCTGTACCTGAAGCCAGCGTACAAGACAAAGATTTCTGCAATGATGAAGACACCAATGGTGACACGACAGAAAGATCCAATTTGAGCCAAAATCTTCTGCAAGTGACCAGTGGTGTCATCATCCTGGCCTACGAGCGAGGCAGCACGACCAAAGAAGGTGTTGGGGCCAGTGGAGATAACCACTCCCTCAGCTTCACCCTGCTTGCACGTGGATCCCCTGAAAAAAAAGACGTCAGAAGCTGAACAATGTGCTCCGAAAACATTATAGACTCACAAAAAGCACTGGTCACCCATTTTCTTGGACTGAGGCAGTGACTCACCCATCAAAGCGGCCTGATCAATAGAAACATTGATGGCCTCCGTCGGACGGCAATCGGCTGGGATGATATCACTGATTTTGAATGACACCATATCCCCAGGGACGAGAATGGACGATTCGATTTCTGACCATTGGCCGTCGCATCTAACCTTGGCTTTAGGTGCCAAGGAGTCCATAAGAGCCTTGATGGCATTTCCAGCATTATGTTCTTCATAGAAACCAATGGCAGAGTTGATGAATAGCAAGAGAACAATACCGACAAAATCAGGCCAGTCAGGGGGTTTGGCCTGACTGTTTGAAAGTACGATAGCGACGAGTGCGGCGGCTTCCATCACCCATGACAGGGGGTTCCACATAAAACTCAAGAACTGAGCAGAATTAATCAGAAACGTGCGCCTAGAGAAACTAAAAGACTAGTAACCTGAAGGAATGGATTCTGTTCCTCAGATTCCAGTTTGTTGGGGCCAAATAGCTTGAGTCGTCGTTGAGCCTCCTCATGGTTCAACCCCTCTGCAGTGCACTGCAAGAGCTTGAAGACATTGTTGATAACGATAGTTTCCAAGTCAACTTTTTCCTTGTCGTACAAATCCTCTGCCTTTAGTTCGATCTGCAGGGATGCACGTTTGTATGAGCCAAGCAAGATTAAACACATTGAAGACGTACCGTGGACATATCGACCTTGACGTCTATATGCGTGTCAGAACCGCATAGAACAAGTTGAATAAAATCAACAAATCACAAGTTGCTTTCTCGTCGTCCTGGCCAAAATCCTTATACTGCCTCTTTTTTCTCTCTGGCTCCTGGATGGGGGCATCGGTAGCATCACCCTGAGGATCGTTTGCGACGGCGCTCATGGTGGCAAAGTCGCTTCCAGGAAGAAGAAGATTGCGACCAGGATAGAGATGTTTGACCTTATTATGTAGTTCCCAACCTATCCATGAGAAATTTGCAGGGCCGCAGATGAACCGACTCAGAGATTCCGAGTGGTCCCTACCACTTTGATCATAAAACACTGGCAACTGCCAGCACAACGATTTGTTAATTGCCTAGGTTTTTTATGAAATGAGATAACATGGCAAACCTTATGAAATGTATCTCATTTCCTTCAAGGTATTATTTCATTTCTATTTCATTTCTATTTCATTCCTGCCTAGCACTATTTTTCATTCCTGCCTGGGCTATTTTTCATTTCATTTCTGTTTCATATCCATTTCATTTCTGTTTCATATCTATTTCATTCCTGCCTGGGCTATTTTTTTTGCTTTCCCAGGGTGATATTTTTGGTATTTCATTGCTGCCTAGGGCTATTTTTCATTTCTTTGCCTAGGGTAATAACAGGGTAGGAATTGTCAGGGTCTATTGTCTGTTATGACAGCAGAAATACATATGAGATTTCATCGCTTTTCTGAGGAATATATGTGTTGCGTTACCTTGGTGCCTCGCTCGTTCTGGGTTTCGACTACATCCGAAGAGCAGGCAAAGGGCCATGAGGAAAAAACGCCAGTCGCACCCATCCCATCAAACAAAAATTCGAGGTGATCAAGGTTGAGGCCAAGGGATATTCGCGTTCGTCCGTGCACTAGGAGGTGATAAAACAACTCTTTCGTGGAAAATCGGGTTGTTACAACTTACCAGGGCTTTTGCCAATCATGTTCATGAGGTCCAACCTCCTCATGTTCTCAACTCCAACTTGGCTCAAAACCCCTGCCATCCTTGCATACCTCAGATGATTGGCTAAATTTGAAGCTCGAGAGCTTAGCGCTCAGCGCCAGCTGCAACAGTGCAAGTGACAGAGAAGGTGCGCAGTGATGAAAGTGTGGTCTCTGCTGGTGGAGGGACATCATCATATGTAGTTTTTTCTGTGGAACTGGGGTCTCCTCGTTCTCTCGGATTGACACAGTGAATTGCACAAACTGACCTGTCGCCGAAGTTTGTTGATGGATGTCGGACATATCAAACTCTCACTTCAACGTTTCCAATCGTTCCACCAGGTCCTGCACCCCTCCTGGCTCCAAGACGACATATCGTCGTCCGGCAATATGAGTCCTCCAGCTCGTCGTCAAGCCTTCCTACTGTTGAACCATGCCCTGCCCCAAGACGACGTATCGTCCTCTGCCAATCAGTCCCACGCCACTTCAGGCAACCACCTAACCCTACCCTCTTAGGGTAGTTAGTCCATGCCAATAAGACTACCCTATGAGGGCCCAATACCATGGTATGTCCCACCTATTTCATGGAGTCCCCTGGGGGTAGCCAGGTACTCCCATGGTATTTACCTGGACTTCCATGGTTGCTTCCTCTGTCCTTGGGAATCCAAGATCTGTGGGAGTCCTGAACATATTTTGCATGGGATTCCCTCACCCAGGGGAATCCCATCCAAATTTATTTTGTTATATTGGGACTCCCAGGGCCCCAATCATTTCCAAATAGATTTTACTTGAAAGCCAGCTAGCCAACAAATGTAGTACTAACTCATAATTATGAGAATAAAACAATTTTGCTATGGAGAGAAATAAGGAGACAAAGGCATTGTTGACTTGAGGTAAACTTAGATTTTTCTATGGAGAGAAATAAGGAGACAGGTATTGTTAACTTAAGGTAAACTTAGATAAGAGTTCTAACTCCATGCTCACATGCAGTGTTTCATCATGAAGAGCTGAATGGCTGGCAAGTGAAGTGTTGGGATGTTCAATTGATATGGACACCAACTTGACCAATTTATTTACATGGATGAAAAAGCTAGTGTCCATCTGGAACAAATTTCATTGAGGAAATCAACTGACAACATATCTTAATAAGTCTTATAATTATCATGTAGGACTGGAAAGCATTTCAAAGTGTTGAATGGAGGGCCCACCAAGCCAATTGAGCATGGGACTCCTAGCCTCTAGAGATCTATCTGCCTAGACACATAATCAGAACATCTATAGGACTTCCAGAATTACCTCAAGATCTAACATGGGAGTCCCAAGGATATTATGGTTGGATTCCCACAAGCCTCTCTGGGAGTCCCATAGAGGAAGTTGAACATCTGTAGGACTTCCAGAAGTACTTCCAGATCTAACATGGGAGTCCCAAGGATATTATGGTTGGATTCCCACAAGCCTCCCTGGGACTCCCATAGAGGAAGTTCAACATCTGTAGGACTTCCAGAATTACCTCAAGATCTAACATGGGAGTCCCAAGGATATTATGGTTGGATTCCCACAAGCCTCCCTGGGACTCCCATAGAGGAAGTTCAACATCTGTAGGACTTCCAGATCTAACCTGGAAGTCCCAAGGATATTATTGTTGGATTCCCACAAGCCTCGCTGGGACTCCCAAAGAGCAAGTTAAACATCTGTAGGACTTCCAGAAGTACCTCAAGATCTAACATGGGAGTCCCCAGAGGTTTGCTTGGACACCCAGAGAATGAAGAAAACTGAAGGTGGACTCCCACAAATAGATAGATATTCAAACAACAATTCCTTGGAAGTCATAATAAGTTGTAAACGACGTTAGACTAATTACCAATATCCTCCCCACGGAAAGCATCTGCAAGGTCAATAGCCTCAAGAGTGTCAATCAAATCTGCATCAAGACTTTCTAAATCAGACGAACTCAATTCATCTAGCTCAACAGATGATCTGACCTCCTCTATATCATCATAGTCATCGTACAAACGGGAGGTGACTTGGGCGATTCGAGCAGCTGTGATCTTGTCTTCTGTTGGGCCCCAGGCTGGTATAACGGTGTCAGCAGGTAAGGATTGTAAGGACTTCTTCCATATCGACAGGACATGGAGAAGTTCATCCTTTCATAATTGGAGTTGATAGCGCAACTCCGGTGAATCTAAAACATGATGAGAAGCTACACAAAGCGTTGAAATAGTGAAACATACCAGTGTTATCATATGCAGAACTGGTGATATTCCACTCCTCTGAATACCAACTTTGAAGCACCTTACGTTCATGTTTAATGCGGTCTTCCTCTTCCATGCATCTATCAAGCTCTAATCGCACACGAATTCCGGACCTCACAAGATCATCGCAAAGCCACAGTGGTGGATCTGCCGTGGTGCCGTCAAGTGAATCTTCCAATCCAGCATCCTGCCAAATTTCGTCGTCAACATCCAGAGCAAACAAACCCTTCATGACAATCTTAGATGGGCAAACTGAGCCCGGAGGTGCCTTGCGCTGAGCTTTTAACCGTAGCATTACATCGCACAAGTTGTTGTAGTCACGAGCGAGTTTTTGAATGCTAGGATCACGACGCTTCACAGAATCTTCGAGATGATGGTGAACTTTGCGCTCTGTTTTATAATATTAAGTAGGTGTGGAGTACAGAATGTGAAAAAAAGACACACCGTTGACGTGGTTGCGATATGATCTTTCAATGCGGTCAAGCTCAAACTTTCGGGAGCGCAGCTTTTCGCGTAAGCGTAGCTTAAGGGCCCGAGCATTCATCCTCGCTGCAATAAAAGGGCTTCCTAGGAGCTTCTCAAGCTTGGTTCTTTCTTGAACACCAAGAGCGGACTCAGAAGCGTGCACCCGAGACTCTGCAGAGCTCAATGCCTTCTTAGCTTCGGCTAGGCGCAGTTCTGCATCACAAACATGATAGTCTGAAACTGAAGGATCCAATATGATGTTTTCTTGCTCTCGGACGCGTGTCCTCAGAATATCACGTGCTTTTCGAAGTCGGATGGCTTTGGAGACTGTGTCTTTGCCCTGGTTCCTTGTCCGTCCTGGATAAACTATTCACACTTAATTTGGAGTTTAGCATACAATGTACGTGGAAGGGGTTTTGTTTGAGCCTGTACCTGCGCAGACCATTCATCCCGAAGAACATTGTCTGGAAAGCCACATTCTGTGAGCGCCACTTCAGCAAGATATCGCTTCTCTTGACAATGACGAGATCGGCGAAGCAGCCAGAGAGCCAGGTGACCAAGGCTCTCCTTATCTGCTTGTTGAACCTGTCGATCAAGAGTGTAAACACGTTGATGTGACTATACAAGATACTAATGAGGTGATATATTGTCCCGGATGAATGAAGACTTACCCCACACACGCGTAGATAAGCAATTAATTTCTTGATAGAATTCCAGAACCGCTCGCAGCCTTCGCCGTCGGAGAGTCCAAATCCGTTGCACTTTCGAGGATGGTATATGATCTGACAAGGCCACTGATGTCCGAACGCATGAAACACGGAAATAGCAAACATCAAGCAGTGGAGGTATGCACTAAGGAAACCCCAGTTGATGCAACTTTTATGTAGTTGACAGCCAACATCATAAAGTAACCCGACCGTATAATGGAGGGGCAGGTGTTGAAACAGCGTCTCAACGAGCGCCAGAGCGTAATGCTGCTTCTCGCCTGCAGATCGCATGTTGACGATCCATATCACACGGTCATGGCGGCAGAGAAGAGCCATCAGTGCGGTGACGGCGAAAAACTGTGTGCTGGCCTTTTCACGTGTTTCATTGGCAGCTGTAAAGCTCTTCTCGCAGCCGGCTAAGACGGATCGTGGAACCTTCAGTGCACCATTGTAGCCATCTTCTTCGTCTGAGTCAGGGTGGTTCCTACTTGTATCAACAGGCTTTTGGCCCTTCGCACCCTTCTTAGCCTTGTTCGGACGAATGCCCTCAACATATTTTTCCATCTTTGATGCAGTGGCATCTGATATGAAGACGCTTCGAGGGTGCTCACGAGGTGGGTCAGACTGCCGATCATTTTCTTTTTGCTTGAAACATGCATCGACACACACGACAATATCGGGGCTGGTAATTGAATCAGTCAAAAAAGTGACAAATATACCAACCAAAACGACCTACACATCACCTCCAAGCCTCTGATTTGGGTCTCCCCCAAAGCATAGAGGGCATCGTGAACGAAGATAATCACTGGGGCGGTCGCATGGCATTGGCATTGGAAACGGAGCTCTCAAGCCATCAGCGTCTTCCGAATGACGTCGCTTCCGGGAAATCGGGGTGAAAGGAGAAGCTGTTGAGCTGTTAAGAGGCGTTGAGGGCCGAGGGAGTCCAGCATTCATAAACGCATCTTCATCCTCAATTTCAACCATAGTGACAGGGGGTGGTCGGGTACTAGGCGGAAGAGGCTCTGGTACTGGATCGTCATCAATGGCATCGGCACCAGGCGGATGTGTGGTCCGAGGAGTCGACTCGTTATCAGGAGTTGCAGTTGATTGTGTGGCGCGAGAAGTCGATTCGTCGTCGAGAGAATCAAGTGTTTTTGTGCAAGTCCCATCGTCATAACCTGTAACGATCGTCCGGACATGATAAAGTACATTGTCGACATGTTTGTTAGTAGCATCTTGAAGTCCGTTGTACCATTTCAGGGCTTCACTAAATCGGCGCCGAAGGGAGTCCTGTTCTTGAAGTCAGACCAAAATTCACCCTTCATCTAATTAATAAAATACCTTGGTAGTAAGTTTATAACCTTGGCTTTGAAGAAATTCTTCAACCGTGTTGCACCATGCAGTGGCATTGGGGGAAATATGGAGAAAAAGTCGCGATACAAATTCTAAAACTCGAATATCCACAGCCAGGGAAGGGGCAAATGGTGCCGAGGGAAATAACCCACGTTGAAGCAGCTGGACTGCAGCCGGTCGACATTTGCAAAAATGAAGTTTCAACCTTTCAAGGACTGAAATGCACTTTTTAGTATCTCAATGCCTATCAGGAAACAAACATACCACAAAAATGAACAACGATAACCTCCAGTGCTCTTCCGATACATTGACAGGTGAGGGTGGTGGCTAAAGCGTCCTCGGGGATCGGCAGGCGAAAGGATTCTGTCTGAGAAACAAGCCGCATGTACGGCATGATGAGGCGAGGGAGCACTTCAAATTTCCAACGAATGGTTTGATTTTCACGTTTTCGTCGGTGATTAGAAACAGTAGAAGCATGTTACCAACCGCTAATTAAAAACATCTAGTTTCTGCCCAAGCATGGACAAAGTTCGTCGCCAAACTTTATCATCGGGAACTCAAGACTTTGGGAGCGAACCCTTCTCAAGAAGATGTTCATGAACATTTCAAAGAACAAATTGATTATTATCACAGCGTCATAGGGGCATTCTTGGAATCGAAACGAGACGATGGGAAGTTCCCGCAAGTTGTGAAGAAAGTGGTCGAGCCATTTGCCAAATTGGTATGTTGTTACATTGTCAGTACCCTATTCCGTCATGCTAACACATGTTGAAGGCCACTCGAGCATACAAGGAGACAGGGATTCAGGTCTTTGGATTTGCCGTCGATGTCAACGCCAATTCAACCTCAAGCTTGGCTTGGGGCGGCAGCCGTGAGTATGAGAAACTCCGTGAACGCTACAAGTCCTCCGTCGAGACTCAGCTGAGAGATTATGAGGGGATGTTCAAGATGGCGGAGATGGACCAGCGATTGACGGCTGCAAGCAGTGCATTGATTCACTGCGAACCAAGGTCGAATGAAAATAAGTGTGATTGCCTTATGCGAGTCCTTGGAGAATTTCTACAAAGTGATCTCAGTAAGTTTGCCTATTGTCTCTTCTTGCACTCTTTAGTAACATTTTCTAGTTGAGATCTTCAGTGCCCGGAATGAGGAAGGCAGTAACATGAAGAAGGTCACGATGAACTGGTCTTGGATGGACTTCGCGTACAGGAACGAGGTCACCATCCTTGGTTGGGGGCTGGTGGATGAGTACCCTCGCGAAGGATTTTCTTTGAAGGGAAAGGGAAAGGGGGAGGCTTTTTTTCAAAGAATTGTCCAGACACGCATCAATGAGTACAAACAGAAGCGCAGTAGCCTCATGGTGAACGATGAAGAACTTGATGATTCGGTTATCTCACCGTATGTTCGCATTGTCCCATGGACGTCAGGTGAGTCTCAGCCAACTGCCTTTGCAATCTGTCTCGTTGATTATACATTATCAGAGCAACGAAAGCTTCGTGTGGTCAAACAGCAAGACATCCCCCTTGTGGTAGATGTTGCAGGAAAGGTTTTATCCACCGTCTTCAACTCGAAGGTGTGGGCGAAGGCGGTCGAAGTCACTGGCCATAAAAAGTCATGCCAGAAGTCAGCGCAACCACAAAGCGACGATGAAGAAGACTTCGAAATGCACGTTGAGATACCTCCACGTCGTCCACCTCCCCACCCAAACACTTCACGAGAGGATCCCGATGCTGTTCCCCCTCACTTGCGATTTTCACCAGAGCCTCAATCTCATCGTCCACCTCCCCGCCCAAACACTTTACGAGAGGGTTCCAATGCAGTTCCCCCTCATTTGCGATTTTTGCCAGAGCCTGAAGATCGTGACCAGACTTATAATCAGTGGGCTCCAAGCAACTTTGACACATGCCCCCCTCACTCCAGATATAGAATAGATTTGCAAGATTGTGATCAGGACACTTACAATCGAGCACCTAACAATGCCAGTGCACGTCCTCCCCACTCTCGATCTACAGCGGATTCTATCGATCGCGGTCGTGATTATCCTCGACGAGCACTCAACAACTCTGATACAAATCCCCCTTACTCTCGATCTACGGCAGATTCTATTGATCGTGGTCCTGCCGACAACTTTGACGGACATCCCCCTCACTCTCGGTCCTCTCGCGATTATGAACAAACTCAGCAGCGATTTCCAGTCGGCCCTCAGCCAATCAAGTCTCATTGAGATATCATCTACAACGACCATCCAAACTATAACCGAAACATCTATCATGGCGATGAAGGTGACGACTACCGGTTCACCCGTGATTTCACTCCTGCCCCCAATCAAAGTCGCTATTACGAAATTGACTCTGACTTACGAGGGGGTGGCCGAGAGCCATACGGACCTCCAACGCATGATCATCGCCTTGCAAGGAACAAGAACGACTATCCATCGCACGACCACTATAATGCTGGCTCTTCGGGTGCTCAGCAGACTTTACATCGCCATCACCTCCCGGAAGATGGCCAAGGCCTCTCAAAGCGGCCATACAACAAAGAGGATGTGGGACAGCTCGATATCGGCCCTTCCGAACTGCAGCTGCCTCAGAAAAAGCGGAAGATTTCGGAACTGGAGGAAGAGACACGCAAGGTTGTTGTGCATCCTACACGACGAATTCCGTCCGGAAGCCATGCAACTGCTCCAGAGAATGGTAGACCTGGCTCTTCGAAGGATTCAATTTGGGGTCATCCTCCAATTGGAAGGCGTTAAAAATTGCACATGACTATAGTATTTGAACTTGTCCCTCAGCGTTACTTATGATTTTTATCTGAACTTGTCCTTTGCTATTACTTATATGACCATTATGGATATGCCTTATGTATATGCCTTATGTTTCTGCTTTTAAATTTGTATGTTATTGTGTTAAGATCACCTGACTTAGGTTTTCTATGCAACTTAAAGTTGTACTTCTGTTTCCGTGTAACTTGAAGTGGTACTTATCCATGTAACTTGCAGTTGTCCATGACTGGCCTTCTCTTTTATAGTATAAGAATTGGTTGTTATGAGTTTGTTATAGTATAAGGCTTAGTGTCAACTCCAAATTATGCAACTTTATACTCTATGTTATAATTTTCAAGCCTTCTCTGTTGTAGTATAAGGTTTGGTTGTTATAAGTTTGTTCTAGTAGAAGGCTTGGTTGTCAGAAGTTCTAAGCTTTCTCTGTTATGATACAAGGCTTGCTTTTTGCTACTTAGTACTCACAGGCACATATATTCTTGGGAGTCCCAGGGAATAGGAATTTAGGTACAGATATACTTGGGAGTCCCAATTAACCAGATGGAAATCCCACACCCTGGGGAGTCCCAGTGAGTTGAAATTTAGGTACATATCTACTTAGGAGTCCCAGATAACCATATGGGAGTCCCTCACCTTGAGGAGTCCCAGAGAATATAATATTTGGGACTCCCACAGAGGTGGGATTCCCAAGGAAATGTAAGAGGAATGTGGAAGTCCTAGCAGAATCCCATGGGAGTACCTGGCTACCCCCAGGGGACTCCAAGAAATAGGTGGGACATACCATGGTATTGGGCCCTCATAGGGTAGTCTTATTGGCATGGACTAACTACCCTAAGAGGGTAGGGTTAGGTGGTTGCCTGAAGTGCCCACGCCACCTTCCACCATGCCATGGGTCTCTGATGCTTCGAGATGACGCATTGTCATCCGCTAAACGTGTCATCTACATGTGGGTCATGTCAGATAACATTGGTAGCGGATGAAACTTGTAAAAGACCAAAACAAAAAGGTATGTTCAGTCTTTCGAGACCCCAGGCACATGATTACTTACTTTTTTGAAGGTTCGTGTACATGTGTTCCCCGCTTTCGGCCTGTATTATGTCACCAACTACGCCCTACCCACCTTGAAAGAGTTGTGAAGAATCCATTGTTGATCTTGAAAGTAAGTCGTTAGTTTTTGTCTTTATGCGAGTATCCATGGACTTACCTTTGATTGAATTCAAAGTTTCACCATGCTATCACCTCCAATCTGCCCTGCCAAGATCCAACGGACGTATCGACCGTCGGCCAAGCGTGGTGGAAACGTCGTTCAAAGACGACACCCGTGATAGCTGTCAGATCACTAGTAGCTACCACTTTTATGATAAAATACAGGCAAGTGCCTGCACACCGACATCCACACTGCCTAATGAATTTATGAAATGAGAAGAGTAGGCAAAACTTATGAAATGTATTTCATTTCTTTACCAGTGCTTCTCATGACTATTTCATAACTGTCCTGAGACATATTTCAATACTACTTCATTGCAATTTCATTACTGCCTGGCCTTCCATTTCATTGTCTACCCAGCCTTATTTCATTGCCTTTTCATATCCTTGCCTGGGCTACTTCATATTCATTTCATATCCCTGCCTGGGCAATTTCATATCCTTGCCTGAGCAATCTCATCCCTGCCTGGGCTACTTCATATTCATTTCATTTCTTGCCTGAGACAATTTCATATCCCTGCCTGGGTGATTTCATATCCTTGCCTGGGCAATCTCATATCCCTGCCTGGGCTACTTCATATTCATTTCATTTCTTGCCTTAGGCAATTTCATATCCCTGCCTGGGTGATTTCATATCCCTGCCTGGGTAATTTCATATCCTTGCCTGGGCAATCTCATATCCCTGCCTGGGCTACTTCATATTCATTTCATTTCTTGCCTTAGGCAATTTCATATCCCTTCCTGCATAATTTCATATCCCTGCCTGGGCAATTTCATATCTATTTCATTCCCTACCTTGGGCTATTTCATATCCTTGCCTTTGCAATCTCATATCCCTGCCTGGGCTATTTCATACCTACCCTACTGCATTTATCATTGCCCCCTCAGAATGTCAGGCACTGCCTTCAGGGTCCATTTCAGATCAAATTTTGGGACAGGCCAGTAGCTATCAATGTGACAGCAGACAGAGCAGTAACTATCAATGTGAAAGCAGAGAATAGCCTGTCCTGATGTGAAAGCCAACTTGGCCATGATGT